GAAGAATAAACAAATTTAAACTTTTGTCTACTAGGATGGACATGATGTAACAAAGGGTTAATAAGTACCTTGAAAACAAGTCCATTAGAGATTTCCCAGAGAATGGGGACAGCCATTCAATGTGCAATTTTTTTAAGCAATTCATTATGCATACACTATCACTGTTTTCTTCACTCAGTTGTAGACTAAATCATAAGCTAAGTTGTACATTTAGTTGCTAACGTTGTTTCAAAATTTGATGTGTTCTAGCTGATACTTCACTTAGTTAAGCATTTCTTAGAAGTAGTTAAGCATTTTCTTTAGCTGAATCAACTTCTTTTCCACTGTCAGATTCAACTAATTGAGCAGTATTATCTTATTCTGTAGGTGACCATGTGCATCCTTGGTTTTGTAAGGTGAGTGATTTTGCCATGGTTTGAATTCTTTAGCAGTTTTACCTTTTGTTTGTTATTCTGTTTGAAATAATTTAAAAAAATAAGTAAATAAGTGAAGTGATATGTTCTTGTTTCTTGTCTTCTAGGTCTGGAAGTACATTATTACACTTATCCAAACCTATTTTTGAGTCATGATTGTATTCTTTATGGCAATCCAGGAAAGTTCTCACATCCTTAACTTATTCCTTCCAATTAATCTGTGCTTTTCAATGTACTTAGCAAGTTTCTCACTATCAGTCAAGACGTGGTCATCAGTTTAATACTCATTATCATTTGAGTTTAAAAATAGAGACATACTGCCACCAAACAGGGTGAACAAATGCAAAAAGCAAACATTAGGAGGTTCTCGCTGCTTAATGATGATTGCAGAGATGAGAGGAGCCACGACTATTTTATACTGAAAACAATTGTTGCAGCAAAGCAAAAATAAAGGTAGCCTCATCTGTTGAGAATTGAAAAGCTTCAACGAAGTCCAGTTCAGCAACTGAAGAAGCTTTATGGATAATTTTTACAGAACTAAAATTATGTTTAAGTACTCAAACACTGAATATTTGTTTGTATATCCTTTTTGAATATAAAATTTGTATACTTTTGAACATAAAATTTGTATAGGTGAAACAAAAACAAGATATGTTAAAAATGAAATGTGAAACAAGGATAAAATAAGCTGAGGATGGCAATGATTTATAAAAAAATTTTAAATGGAATCATAAAGTTTCAGAACTTTTATTTTGGAAAACAAGTAACTTTTATATATTTAAAACTGTGAATTCCAAGATTCCATTAATAAAATCAATAGGATGTTATGAGCACTTTTTTTGCAATCTCATTTTATGATTTGCTTTCTGTGAACTGTTTCTTATGTTAATTTTAAGATATAACAAGCTGAATGAGCTTTAAGCCATGAGTTAACTACTTTAGTTATTATTTCCAGTGATAGCAGTGACATCAGCATCAAGGCATATCATAACATCATACAGAAAGGCAAAGGAAAAAAAATGGCAAAAAGAAAAAAATGTGTGTTGTGCATGCAGGTAGCTGATCAATGTTTACAAGTAATGTTTTCCAAAATGAGAATAATCAAAAACAGTCTAAAAGAGATCATTGTGCAATCAGATCATTGAGTCATTTTAGTTTGCTCTATATGCTCAACAAGTTAACACTAATACCAACACATCAAGAAAGTTATTCAAGACATATCATTAGAAATTGGAAACAAGAGTTGAACATTCGACAGGACATAGTTAATTTGGTTGATCATTCTTTAATTTAAAGCTTTAATTGATTTTTTAGAGAAGTGGGTGCTTAGCAATTATTCCTTACAGTAGAAAGTCTTTTTTGATGATAAAATGGAAAAAAAAAAATTAAAGGCCTTATCCATGACATAGAGAGAATTTTCTGTGAATAGTAATGACAGATAATCGTTAATGAGAGATTGCTACCTTTTACTTTCAGTGATTTTTTTCTTTGCTCTACCACTGCATTTTATACAAAATCAGTATTGTTCCTCCTCCTCATCTTTGGTCCCACCAGCGGCTGAGCGGTAAAGTCGCTGAACACTGGTAGTTCGGTCCGAGGTTCGAATCCCGCGAACGGGCTGGCTGCATGGGCGTTTTCGTGGTTTTCCCCTTGCGTAAGTGTATACGAGCCAGTTTCATTAGAAAGTCCCCCGAGGCATCCCTTCCCTTAGGAAGATAGCCCTCGAGGCTTTGCCATAATCACACACACACACACACTGTTCCTCCTCTTTGCAAAAGGTTTTCTACTCTTCAAGAAGATTGACTTGTGTTTGATCACCATTAAAACTTTCAAAGTTTCATTCAAAAATCTATGCCAAACGACGACTGCTTTTTTTATCTCATTTTACATTGTTACATTTCTCTTTCAGTTTCATCAGAGATAACTTTTCTGGTTGATTTTTACATGTATGACCTTAGTTAATATGTTTATGGCGATGTTTTATCGCCATTAGACTCTATCAGAAGGTCATTAGAAAACATCATCACCCAAAATTCAGCTAATAGTTAAAATCAACTTTATTTAACAAAAAAAAAAAAAAAAAAAAAAAAAAAAAGAACGAAAAGAAAATAGAAAGCACATCTCACAAGAGGCTAAATATTTAAACATTCACATACACAAACTGATGCCAGACATCAGCCTCGAACAGGCAAAAAAAGGTGAGAAATAGTAGTAAATAAAATTTGGCAAAAAAATTTAAGCTTTTATCTTCACTGCAGATGAATGTTGCCACTTAGTGGAATGAGGATCTCTGCCATAGTACTCCTCCCTCCAAATACTGGAGGCATAAGGGGTCAGAGATACCTTGGGTTAAACTTGACCTTATGGCCCATGTGCATAGCATAGTGCCATACACCATACAGGGCTAGCCCAAGCACTTTTGTATAGTCAAATGATTCCCTGTGACATGAGGAACTCAAACTCCTGTTGTGCTGCCTGAAGTAAATCTAGCAACACACGACAAGGTTTAAAAATGCAAGGTTCACAATATAATGAAAAATTGTCACAATATAATGAAAAATTGAAGTCTGATTATTGCTGGTTACATAAGAAGGAATGGTGAGCTTAGGTTATTCGCCTAATAATTTATGAAATTTAGAGTCATCATGAAGTACAGACATGCCTAAATGAAATGAACTCTTAAACAATTTGCCATGTGATGACAAACCAGTCCCAGAATCGATAAGGCAGTTATTAACAATGTCATCTAGTAATCAATTATTCTTGAGAATGATTCGTGGTGAATGTAATATGCCATGAAATCACTAAACCCATCCAAGTTGCTCTAGAACTTCCTCCAATAGCATGTAAAACTGCTACATACTTCATTTGTCACTCCTCCTTCAATAAATTAAGATTATGTAGACCTAGTAATCAATGACAGTGATTACTTTTGAAATGATACAGTTTAAAGAAATTTCTCATCAGCAGTAATATTTTTACGATGGAAAGGAAAATAACCAAATTAAAATAGAAAGTTAAGGGGTTATTTCAAGCTGAAGTAAAAATTTTGATTTGCATGTTTTTTCGTCTGATGCATAAATATATATAATCTAAAACCAAATTTTAGTAATAGTATTATAAAAGGACAAGCAAAATTTTACCAAGAACTCCAATTTTCAATGAATGCTGAGAAATCAAATCATGCTTTGCTTTCAAGTGACTAAAATATTTCAGTCTATTCCAAATCTTTTGCTCAGCTCCTTCACGGATTGCACAAGTGACTATAAATATGACATCTGTCTGAAATAATACGTTTATATAGGAGAATTTATTATTAGAGCAAATATACAAATTAAAATTATAAAAAAATTACATATAAACATCTACAAAATTCTTAATTTAATATCTAAATGCAGAATAATGTAACTGAATTATAAGAGAAGAATATATTTTACGTGATTTAATGTATGGATGTAGAAACTTTACCGATGACATATTTTGTAGCTCTTTGCAAATTATTTAGGACAAAAGAAAAAGCAATTAAATTTATAAAAGTGAGGAGATTGTGAAAAGCAGAAAAATCAAAACAGGAGAACACCTAAGAGGTTTCTTCTTGCATGCTATTTATTAGTTTCTTACCTTTCTTGACTTTTCCTTGTTTACAGAATTTCAACATCATATCTCAGTATTCAGAGATATCTTGTTTTATTTAGTATAAGTATGCATCCTTTCACTATTCTTTCTATTCTTGATACAAAACTGCTTTATGTTTCTAAAGCAGAAGACTTCTCACACTATCAGCACTATGCATATTTCAGTATGCTCTTTTAAACTTGTCTCTATCCAGTAAGCTTTATATTAAGAAGTACAATAACTTTTACATATTTGTGACATTATATAAAATGAACAAAGAGTTAAACAAACTAATGAACTACTATCACTAACTATACTTACATCATTTATATCTTTTGTAATTTCAAAACCAGAATTCTGCAAAATAGATAGCACGACTTCTGTATCACTAGCATTCATCTGACATCCATAAGTCTCAATGTAAACTAGAATAAAAAAAAGTATATTAATCTGAAAACAAACAAATTTATCTCTAATTAATAAACTGTAGATCTATTACTTAATAATAATGGTATAACCATAAAACTTTAAAAAAAATTGCAGAATGAAACATTATAATTTTACAGTTACCTGAACAATTAGAAATTTTCAATTCAAATGTTACTAATATAAATTTGTTTTTATTATTTAGACACAAAACATAAAAGTTCAGTTAAAAAAACTCGTCTAGCAAATAGCATTAAAGTGAGAAATGCAGAAAATCAGTTTTAGGTAACAATATGTATTATTCTTTGAAGAGAAGTAAAACTTAACTCCCTGAACCCTTTGCAATCATATGTCTACTCGTCTACTCTCAGCCGTTTATATCATATATCTACTTCTTTCACAGTTCCAACCGTATGTCTTCTCTCATCAGCCACAGCAAAGAACCATGTTGATCTTATATTGCATTAAATCGACAAGCTTCACAGATATATAGAGTTCAAAATAATACTTTAAAAACTGTGTTTAAGTATAATTAGGCATTTAAAAATAAAACTCTAAAATGGCAAAAAGAAAGTCACTGAACAAATTATTTTTCCGACACATGTTCTCGGAAACCAGGGATTAATATTGGAGACTCCACACAATGGAGAACTATAAAATATAAAAAATATAATTTTTACATAAAATTAAAACATATTATTCTGCTTTATATATCTAAAATTTAAAAAGAAATAATAAATTTTGTTTTTACTTCATAATCTTTCATAGTATGTATTAGAAAATTAATTCTGAGCAGCATGATACCCATGTATAAACTTAATATGACCACAAAAGATAAAAAAAAAAGTTTCATTTTAGCCTCCATTTTAAGAACCTTTCATTTTATTCTGTACATATTACATTATAATGAGCAATTAATTGATATCTTAAAAAAAGTAACATATTTGAGCACTTGAGTAACTAATCCAAATTTAAGAACTTAAGAAAGAACATATAAAACTACCAGGTAATAGTCTGAAAACAGACTTGATAGAAAACAGCTGCATATAATGTGAAATATAGTGAAAGTTTTTAAATGAAAGAAAATATCAGGAAAAACCTTTGCATCTTTCATCTATTAAATGCCTCCATAATAAAATGGCCACCACTTCTGGCCTTAGGAATGGCCATTATTGAATAGGCAAGTGCTCACCAATAGATAAAAAAGAAAAAAAAAAGTTTCCATTTATGGCAATCCCAATGAAAACTTTCAAAAATGTATCCATGATGCAGCACATCATGTGGTGCCAAAAAGTATTTAGATTCATTTATTTATTTTATCATTATTGGAAGCTCATCAGTATGGATTGCTGTAAATTAGGTCATTTGTAACAACCTCCCCTTTTTTTTTTACAAAGGACTGTATGACAGGATAAATAATAAAAATTCATATTACATGTAACAATTTAGTGGTATTCTAGTCTTAAAATGTGAATCAACAAAAATGAAGATGCTTTAGTGACAGTTCAAATTTTTACTTGAGAAATAAGACACATTTTGAACCTTATGTGTATATTTAAAATAAGTAATAGATCCCTAGATTTCATTGCTTTTTTTAGTGTTATTATAGCATAATTTGTGGCTTTTGAATTGCTTAAAAATTATTATTTTCATCACTTTTGTATTTTAAGTGTCCACAGTTAAGACTTATTACATAGATACATCTCACTTTCATTCAAGATCTTCTCTCAATATTTTTAGTCCTTCAAAAATATTTTTAAAATAAGTAATAATTGTTCAGTGAACATAAAGGCATTTACCTCCTATTACGAAATGAAAACATACAAAATTAATTAAACAATTAACTCTTATTTTTTTTTGAATTTATGTGGCAATGCTGATATACGGATTCTAGTTCAGATAATTTTATGAAGTTTGTGGATGCTGTTAAGGAATTTTGTGTGCCACAGAGGTAAGTGGATATTTGCTTTGTGTAATGCTCAGATGCATAACAGGTTTTTTTCCCTTTTTATGTTATTTTATTGTTTAGTTTAAAACGTAGTTTACTGAGATTAATTTTTTGTTTGCCTCTACTGTAGAATTGGGTGCTCTTTTGACTTTTTAAGTGAAAATATATCGATGTGTACATGGACAAACTCAAGGGTGTGTGCAAAGCCTAGTTTGTGCAATTCTCTAATTTTTTTTAAGTGAAAGTAGGTCGATGTGTGCATGGATAAATTCAAGGGAGTGCACAATGCCATCTTTGTACAATTCTGGGATGTTTTCTTAAGTGAAAATAGGTCGACGTGCACATGGATACTGAGTATGTGCAATTCTTTGTCTTGTTATTTTGCTTTGTGTAGCAGCGACGCAAGCCAAAATAATAAGTCAAAGAATTGCACAAATTCGGTATCCACATACCGCCAAAAATCGCCAAGTTTCACCAAGGGGTACCCTAAAATATACATTTACCTCGAAATTTTATACAGGTGTTAAAAAAAGCTTATTTTTCTACAAGATTATGATAATTTAATATTTTTAACAAGAGTCGTGTCCCTTAGTAATATTTAAAATGCAACATGGTTATTACAAGGGTTACATTTTCAATTAGTAAATAACTTATTAATATATATTATTATTTAAAATTACAAGAGGCTGGCCAATTGCTGATCTAATTGGCTTTCTGTGCAGTTGCATTAATTCTGAGAACTTCTTTCATGTTTTAACATGCTGTCTGGTAACAGATCCTTCATTTAGAGTGGTCTTCCTCTTGTGTAACGTGAACGAGACAGTTCCACTGAGCAAGTCCTGAACGAAGGCATCCCCCCCCTTAGGGAGATAGCCCAATAGGAAATTTTTGGGGCATGTGCGTTTTGCCGTAACTAAATATAAACCAAACCTTTATTTATACATATTTATGAACTTAAGATAAATCAATATACAGATTATAGAATTATTAACGGAGGACTACATTATCAATGTAAACTTGATAATCTAAGTACCTTTTCGCGATTTGTTTATTGTTTCAGTGGGAAGATAAGGTACACCATCAGCAACCTTAACCTTTTGATCTTTGGTAATAAACGATGATAACGGTGGACCACTAGATAATTTTTCTTTAAAAGTAGTAAGTTTCTCAGTTTTTGAATCGGTTCCATGTAAATGTTTATACACATATCGATAGTACTTATGTTTTGAAAATGCCCAAAATAGGCCAGAAAAGCATTTTGAGCGAATCATTTTAGAGTACTACGTAATTTATAGTTAGAATACAGCATAAAACTCTAGTTGGGAAAGGTTTTAGCTATCAATTTTCATCAACGCCAGGTCGGAATAAAATCACATTACACTTTCGTTTACAACACGGAGTATACTCCATGGTTTAAAAACATTCCCATATACAGCAGGCTTCGAATGTTGAGATACAGATCTTCTGCTTGGAATACATATATAAAAAAATTCTTTTCTTTCTATGGTTGTTAGCGCATCATGAAATTTTTGGGGCATTATATTAATTAAAGTTTAGGTTTGCTAAAAAATTAATTACTAAGAAAACAATTACCTTTTTTTAGAAAAAAAAAGTACTTTTTAATTATTTTCACCCTCAATTTCAAATGTGGTACAACTGCTGCGTTTTCGTCGTATTTTCGAGGACTACACCTGTGTTCGAAAGCAAATAGATTTAGCTGTGATTTCATTTAATAGCATTCATCTTTAGTTAAACTTTTACACATAAGGTTTTAAAAGTCATTTTCGTGCGCAGAACTATATCGATTATATTTGGAATATGTGTGATGACTTCTAAAGGAAAACCCTCAAGAGAATGCGAGCCAGCATCGAGCCACATTGGATATGCAAATTAATGCCACGCAAGATAGAATTAAAGTATTGCAAGGTAACATAGATATAATAATACTAATTTAGTATTACTATATCTATGTGAGGTAAGTGTGAAATTTTTTAGGCACATAGTAAGTCTACTGTAGATTCATGTGTTAATTGTCTTAAGAATGGTGCTAATTGTGGTAAAAATTCTACTGTTGTTAGTTCTAAGAAAAATTTTGGATGTTGTTGGCAGTGTTGAAATTTCCAATGTGTCACACTGTAGCGAAAATTCGACACTTTTCCATAAAGCACCTGCCGAGAGTTTTGGTGGAATTATTGTAATAATATGTGTATGTGTGTTTAATCATTTTTGTTTACTCTCACACACACATACACATATTCCTCAGATGGTGCTACCACTGTGACTCGGCATGCTCTTGCTTTTCTTTTCCCGGGCTTCTTTTTTCAAGGAGTTGTTGGCTTCTTTTTCACAGGAGACAAAAACCATGGCAGGTGCAAAATGCCGGTGCTTAAGCTGCTCCGAAGCACTGCTACAGTACTTCTCAGTTTTTAAGATAAATTACAGCTTTGCCCGGAGTTCACCGAACCCCTAAATAAGATCAGCTCCGGTACTTCTTTTTATAAACCTGAATCATAATTCCCTGCCCCCCAAATCTTTTGAATCTGTAACGCTTCATTTTAGCCATAAGTAAGACCTTGCAATACTCTATTTCCCGAGGATACAAACTTATGAGAACATGAGATGTTCAAGAAAAGCCCCTCACACACATGTGGAAATCTTTCCCTTTAAGAAGGACAATAAATTTACGAAATCTTATTTTGGAAAGCGTAAATTTCTCGTCATCGCATCTAGTGTTTTGTTATTGATGGTTACAGTTAATTATCCTCGCTGGAAGAGAAATTTATGGTATTAAATGTGCATTAAGTGACCTCGAGCATTACAGAAGGAAATACCGAGATAAATTGCTCAAGCACATCCTATATTATCGTCTTCACACAGTATCCACTATCGTCATCAAATTCGGAGGTATTCATTAACGTAATCAATTGCAAATAATGATATGAGGATGCCTGGCGATGTAGAAGGTGATAAAGATAACAGTCCTTTCTTTTTTTCGAAATCGGAACCATCGTCATAAAAAAGCAATTTTGCTGAAATTTTGCCAAGTTACCGCTCCATTCAACAAGGTATAGAATTTTTGCAAAAGAAAAAAAAAACAGACAAATTAATTTTAGAGGATAAAAAATTAGGATGTCAATGGTGTCATTTAGTGTCACACTTGGGTGTTATGAGATCTTAAAGTTTGAAAGTTCAAGTAAGTTTTGTACTTTCCAGTCGACAGCGACTGGGCCAGTTAATATTAGACCAAATGGCGATTCAGAATTTAAACAGCAGAAATCACTAAGAAAAAAGAAAATTATGAGCTTAAATCATATAAATCTCCTAAATTAGCAGAAAAAGGAAAAAAATAATAAAGAAATAGATGAAATTGGCACACTTGTTTCAGCTGTGAGAAAAGATGAACAGATGATCACCGAACGTATTTTTAGGGCAACGTATCATTTGGGAAAACAAAGACAGGCCCTGCTATGAATTTGATAAGGAAACTGATGTTCAGATATTGAATGGATTGAATACGGGAAGGATTTTGCATTTAAACGTGTCAGCTATGAGTATAGTTAATCATGTTTCGGAAAAAATGCAAGAGTCTATAACTCAGAAATCTGTAGAAGAGAATCAGAAGTTTTCTTTAATTTTAGATGAATCAACAATATTTAGGAAGGCTACATGTCTCATCATATACACACTCACGCAACTTTTTGATATGGAAATTCCAGGTAATATAATTTAAAGTGTTTAAATAACTCGACTGCAAATGGTATTTTGACCTGCTTGTTAAGAGAATTAAACCGACTTAAAATAGACGACAATATTCTTGGAAAAAATTTGCTGGCTGTTACTTGGGACGGAGCATCCGTAATTGCTGAGGAAAACTCTGATATATGCAAGTTATTACTCGGCAGGTTCCAGACGTCTATGGCATTGTTTAAGCTACAGACTTAATGTTGGAGATGGTGCTAATCTTGTTGGCGGAATATCTTATTTTAAATACTTTTGGATAAATTAATATTTATCCAGTCCCGGATCTAGCGGGGGGGCAAGACGGGGTTCTTGCCCTGGGCGGCAACTCTTGTGGGCGGCAAATTCAAATATAACGCTGGATAGTATTTGGTATGTTGTTCGCTAAAACTGCTCTCTAATTTTAGTACAACGTTAATAGTTTTAAGGCCAAGTTTAAAAACCTCTTCAGAAAATTTATAATTAAATATTAAGAACCCTTTTAAACGAACATGAGTTAAAATAAAGTTAAGTACAGCCGATTACAAATATAAATATAAGATCAGAAAGACGCAAATAAAGGGACTCCAGGCGTCACTGATAGAATCAAACTGACACTATCAGTAACCTCTGAAGTCCCTCTATCGTTTCCTGTCTGGGCGGGGCGTATTCAAATGAGAAATAGAACGATAGCTTGTTGAAGAAGTCGCCTAGTTTCCATAGCAACGTCTGCTGGGAAATGGAGAAGCATTGTAATTATTTTCTAAGAGCTAACAAAAAAAAAATTAACCTTGGGCCATTCTGGACAAATGAAATAATTCAAATTAATATTCGTCGAGTATATACAAGACATCATCATTATGCCTTCAAGATGAAGCAAGGCATTTAGATTTTTTTGCAACCAGTTGGCAACTTAGGCTCATCTTTGGTTTGACTCGAAACAGTGGAGCGTATTTTGGATTTTAAAGCTAAATTTATTATTATTATTATTATTATTATTATTATAAGTTTTCAGGTCTTTTCTGTACTCCTTTTTTTTTTCTTTTTTCTTTTTTTTTTAGATATGCTTACTTTTAATAGTCCGAACTATATTTAGCGAAACGCGACCATTTATTTAGGACTGTTCAGTGTAATTACGTCAATTTTTAGCTATTCTTATTAAGGCAATTCATAAATTCATAGTGAATTTCATTTAGATTCAAAACAAATTAAAGCAAACCATCTGCGCGCTGAGAGGGAGAAAAGCGGAATATAGAAAACGAACCAAAGATAAAGCCAAACAGAGAAACAAATTTCAGCTAAGATGAAAAATTAACTTTAGGGAAAAAGTAAACAAACCGTCAGACCCTGCCGCAATTCCGATTATGCTGAGATTCTAGAGCGTATTAATATTTCTTGCAATTTTCACGACCAAACATGACTGCATATATCATCCCCAAACAATCTACAAGTCAACATTTGAAAGAACAAACTTCTTCATCGACATCAAACGAATAGCTGGAGGACATAAAACCATGATATAATTTGAATCTTTTCATTTAGATGGGGGCGGGCAGCAGAAAGACGAAAAACTAAAAATTTTTGCTTTGTTGGACCCATGCATTTGGCTGGTCATAGAAAAAAAAATGAAAGATCACCAACAATCTTTCTTAAGCAGTAAATCAGTATTATTAGCCGGTAAACATCCAGAAAAAGTAAACCTCAGTCTCATTGAAAGTAATGGCAGACATTTGACATGTAATACAGAACATTAGTAAATAATGAAAAGCTTAAAAGATCTTGGTTTACATATTCTAAAAACAAGAATGCAATATTTAGTACACCCTGCAAGATTTGTCAGAAACTTGGTGCTGCCACCACATCATACTACAGGATTCATTAATTGGAAAAAGTTTTAGCAAGATTAACTGAGCACGAAGCGTCTGGAATCCACAGAGGTGCATGATTAAGTGGAAAATTCGAGTACAAATGAAATCGTGTCAAGGCAACAAATGAAATCGTGTCAAGGCATCGATCACGACACTGAACGACTCATTCACAAAAAGAAAGAAAAATGGAGAGAAATTCTATTTACAGTCATCGATGCGCTACTGTATCTTTCAACAAACTGTCGTTCTTTTCTTGGGTCTGATGATATCCCAAGTAGCCTGTTGACAAAGTGTCCTCGACCTAGCGAAGGAAATTTTCTGAATTTAATCTCTCCGCTTGCATGTTTGGTCCGCTTGCCATAATTCAACTCTTAAGTACCAGTCAAAGCACTAAACAGAGGGAAAGGAATCATATTTATCAAAGGTAATTCAAAATGAAGTTATTAACTTAAAGGCAAAACAGTCTGAAGTAGATAGAAGAAGGTGTTTCTCAATGGAATGAGGAGAATGTATTTCTCAATGCACTGTAGAAAATTAGTGTCTTAATTGACATTTGATAGGATTACAGAAATGCATGAACTGTAGGAATTTGTGCCATGTTTGGCTCACTCCTCGTATGTTGTCCGTTTGCATTCTGCTTCTTCGTGCCCGGAAGTAGTTAATATGTTTAGAATAAAAAAAAATATTTCGCTTTCTTGTCGAATGCACTACTCGATGGTATATTATGAAAAAATGTACAAAATACAATTTAAAAGGAAGCAGCCAGACAAAATGGTCGGAAAAATATGTGGTCCTTCTAATGAATTAAGCGGAAATATTAAAGCATTTAACAGAAATTAAAGATA